ACCAATTTTTCGCCCTTTTGAATTGGGAATAAATCCATGTCATGGTTTGAAGTCAACCGCAGGCTTCCCAAGCTCAAAATACATGGTGTATGCGACAGCTTGTGTATTGGGAAAATCACCGATCATAAAAAAAAAAATTAATAATCACAGAAATACCATTGTGCTCCCCATAAGTAGCCTGCGAACACAGACATATTTCCGGCTGTCGCTTGTCTCCTCCGAAAATAACGTCTGCGAACCCGAGCCAGGAAACGATTTCTGTGACGTAATGACTTTTGTTTCTCCTTGGCCAATCAGATTCCATGATAAAATGAAACTCCAGTGCTCCTCGTAGCGGATACCTCGCGCAGTAGTTCTGGGGCTACTTGAGCTAAACTGCGATTGGCTTAAAATTCTTACGCCAGAGAAATCGTTTCCTGGCTCGGGTTTGCAGACCTTATTTTTCGGCGGAGACGAGCGACAACCGGAAATGCGTCTGCGTTCGCAGGCTACCCATAAATGACAGAGAGCTGTGTAGACCTTTCTCTGGTTCAAAATTTATCTGAGTATTGTTGGAAGCTGAGAAATTTTGTAACGTTACTTTCTTTCATTACCCAGGTGATGGCCAGGGTTGTTGTACTTGTGTATAAATGCAATGATAGAGATTTTCAGAAATTTTGAGAAGAATGTTTAACTAAAATAAAAGGTACCACAATTTTATTTTGTGGGCATGGAGCTTTTCCACATATTTGAATTTTTAGCAAAAGGTCAACCCAAATACTTGCAAAGCACCAATTCACAGTCCATTCATAACCTGGTGAGCAATTGGATTTCTATCAGCAAAAAGGGTAGCATTGGGCCTACCTAAACAATCAAGCATTTTAGAACTGACATTAAATGTAACCTGGTAATAAAATTTTATTGTTGTTAACAAAGGGTTATCTCTTGAAGTCTGTCAGTCGTAGATACATTGCTTGTGACTTTCTTAAAATCCTGAACTGGGTTTTTATATGTTTTTCCCTAATCACATGCTGTCTATTTTTTTTTTTCGGGAATTTCAGAAACAGATATCAAATAGAATGACATAGTCAATATTTAGCACAATTTCTTGGTTGTAAATATTTAGTTACAAATATCACAGCTTTTTGTTGTTGTTTTGTTTTTTTCTTAATTTTGAATCTTTTTTGTACTAAATTTGCATTTTGAGTAAACTTAAGCTAACTTTTTTATAGTGCACTGTAATATGAAATATTGTCAGTTGTAGAAAGCAACCAGCTGAATTGTGTTACTACTAACTGGCAGTGAACTACAATAAGGTTACAAAAAAAGCTCATTATGAAAGTTCTAGCCATCTCCATAAATGACATTCAAAAAATAACTGGTTATATTTGTCCAAGCCAATTTTGCAGTATTTGTACTTCCATTGGAGCTTTAAATACTTCGATCAAAATTAAATGTTAGCATTTTTTGGCTCAGTGGATAGAACAATTTGTTGAAATTTGTGCATAATTATG